CAACAACAACAACAAAATCACAAGGTCTCAGAGGCACACGTGACTAAGCATCTGTCTGGCTCGTGATTCGGTGGATAGTCTGGGGGTCGGCTGATCAAGACTGGGCTTGACCGTGTGTTAAGCCCGACACCTCTCATCCTCTTCTGGGGATGAGCAGACTAGTTTGATCGAATTCTTCTCATAGCAGTTGCATAATTGCAAGGCAGTGTGAGTGGAAGCACTGAAGGCCTCTTAAACCTAGGCTTGTAACTGGCACTCTGCCTTATTCTGTTAGCCAGAGTATTACGTAGCTAAACCCAATGTCAAGAGATAGGAAAATGTATTTTACTTCTTTAATGTGAAAAGTGATTACGTCACATGGGAAAAGGCAAGAATACAGGAAAAGGTGAAAATGATGGGCTGCATTGCACCATCAAACACACAGCTGTTGTGTTATTCAAGTACCAAAGAGGAAGGAAGGAGACTTGATAAATATCAAGGACATAAAGTGGAGAAAAATTTATTGATTGATTGATTTATCTGTTCATTTACTGTGCTAATTATTGCTTCATAACAATTTACCCCAAAACTTAACAGCTTAAAAAGTACACATTTATAATCTCCCAGTTTCTGTAGGTCAGGAACCACATTTTTCTGAGTCCCTTGGCTCTGTCTTCCAAGGCTACAGCACACAAGGCTGGACTGGGGAGAATCTAATTCCAAGCTCACTCACATGGTTGTTGGTAGGACTTCATTCCTGGGGTCCATTAAACTGAGGCTTTAGTTCCTCACGAGTTGTTGGCTGTTGGTCTCTTGCAGTTCCTTGCCATGTGGCTCTATCCATAGAACATCTTACAGAATGGTAGCAAGCAAGCAAGAAGGCAAGAGTGAATTCCAGCAAGAGAGTAAGAAAAGTAATGTGGAAGTCACAGTCTTCTGTAGCCTAACCACGGAATGGCAGTCTACACTGTATTCCATTTGTTAGGAGTAAGTCATTAGGTCCAGCCCATGCTTAAGGGGAGGGGATTATACAAAAGGCATGAAGACCAAGAGGGCAGAGATCACTGGGAAGTGTTTCAAAAGCCACTTAATTCACTGAATCATTCTTCACTTTATGGAGCCTCTGCTATGTGCAGAATCTTGGGCTTGGAATGTGTGTATTTCAGAGATGAAGAAATTACATCTTTGTAAAACATCAAACAGTCCTAGTAGATTCAGTGACATAATTCTAAAAAAATCTGTTCAGGCCCTAATACTTCATGCCTGAATTACCATGCCATAGTAGCATTTTCAAATTTTTATTCTATTTAGAATCCTTCATTGTCCTTACAACATTCAGGATAAAATTCAAGTTCTTTAGCATTTATCTGTAACTTATCTATTTATCTAGCATTTAGTTACAGATTTTTTCCATCTCTGTTCCCTAGCTTACCTATTCTATGAGCTGTTAATAGGATTTCATATTAAGTTTGGTAAATCTATTCAGAGTCTAGTCAGACTCGATACCATAGAGTTTCTTAGAACTTTCAGTACCCTAAAATGTGAATGTAATCTGCTAACTTCCCCCAACATATTACACATTTAACCATCGAATCCTTTTGCCATGGAGCAAATCAGGGGACTCGATTCTGATGAATATCCTTTGGGAAGGTACTTTCAATTCAACTTTTGTGACTTTGCCTCTTCTATCCTCTGATCCACCTTCTCGGAAGTCGCCATGCTGTTACTGTTTTTCCAGGTGTCCTGACATTCTGATCTCTTCGCCTGGAACGTTCTTTTCCCTCCCATCATCTGCCTGGTTTGAGCTAGGACTTTAAAAACTCAGCTCAAAAATCACCTCTTCCAAAAATCTTACCCTGATTTCCCCTTCCCTGTGCTTTAACAGTAACCCCTGTCCTATGCTTATTATATGATGCTCTTAATTGTTTGATTCTTTTCTTACCATCTGCATTTTCCTGAATTGTAATCTCCTTGAGGAAAGGCCTATGGCTAGCTCAAGTTCAGAGCCCTGGTGCATACAAAGTGTCAGACATGTACCAGCTAGTAAAGAAAACAATACTTTTGAATGCTAGAACAAATGAATAATACCTGGTTCTTTTCTACCTGCAGTTGGTGTTCCTTCTGCATCCCCAGGCTTGCTAGCAGTTAGGCTGAGGACATGTGAATTGTTCAGGCCAAAGGGCTATGGAGGTTATAGGTTGAGATCATGGAACCACCATTGTGAGCGTACTGGGTTCCTATGTCACTGCATGGAATAGAGCTGCCTTATATAAACATTAGATGAATGAGATAGACATGAAAGGAGCCTTTGTTGCATTAAGTCAGTCACTAAGATTTCAGAGTTTAGCCTATCTTGACTAAGGTATTACACCAAGGCTAGCAGAAGTTTGATGCAGGCAGGGGTGTGTGACGTGAAGACTTAAAAAAAAAAAAAATTCAAGAGACCCAGATAAGTGCTAAGAGGTTGCTTTGGAGTTACCTGAATTCTGCCTAATTTTGGTCACTGAGAAGCTGCTGGATGCATCTTTTTAGTCAAGATGCCTGATGAAAACTTACAGACGTGCTAGCAATTACTACTAGATTTTAAATAGAACTGCCTAATTTGAGTTATTTTATGCAGAAAAAAATGAAGTATGGAAAAGATGACAGAATATCCAAGAAATATACAATGGTTTTATGAAAAAGAAGTATCTGATGTAGTGAATGAGAGCCTTGCTGCTTGTACTGAACAAATTCAGTGGTGAATTACTCAACTTAGCAGTGTTTTGCCTAGACAGCCTAAACTTGAATCTCCAAGAAATTCCTCTTGGATTGATTTGATTATAGCTTGGGTGCCAAGCCTATAATTCTAAAAAGGAGGAAACTTCTTGCTTCATTTATGGAGAAGTTGGGAATTTTTTCCCAGCTTTATTGAGATATGATTGACATATAACATTGTGTAAATTTAAGGTGTCCAATGTAATGATTTGCCATCTGTATATATTGCAAAATGATTATCACAGAAAGGTCAGTTAAAATATCTATCACTTCACGTAGTTACAAAGTGTTTTTTGTGGTGAGAACTTTTAGAATCTACTCTCTTAGCAGATTTCAAATATACAATGTAGTATTGCTAACTGTAGCCACCATGCTGTACATTACATCCCCAAAACTCATTCATCTTACAACTGGAAGCTTGTACCCTTTGACCACCTTCACCTATTTTCCCAGCTCCCCACCACCAGCCCCTGACAACCACCAATGTGTTCTCTGTTGCTATGAGTCTGATTTTTTTAGATTCCACATATAAGTGAGGTCACACAGTATTCGTCTTTCTCTGTCTTAGCATAACGCCCTCCAGTCTCATCCATGTTGTCGGAACTGCAGGATTTTGAGAAGTTGGGAATTTCGGGCTTTGTTTCATAAGGAAAGTGACTGAGCAGAAATCCCAAGGACTTTGTTTTTTCAGTCTCGATTATTCGTTTCAAGTAGCAGAAACTGCCTGTGAGCTGAAAAGGATTTGTTGGAAGGAAACTGTGCAGCCCACAGAATCAGTGGGAAGGCTGTAGAATCAGGCTTCAGGATGACTGGGAGACTGGGGGAACAGTTTGTAAGGATGCCTTGTCACCGTGTGCTGCTGCAAATCCGGATCCAGAAAGAGCGATGATTCCAGTGAGGAAAAATCAAAGTCCTCACCCTGATAGAAGGGGCCTAAAGCAATCAGCCTGTTACAGGCTAGCTAGCTGGTTGCTTTGCCCCCATCCAAGGCAATGGTTTTATACCCCTGAGCTTAGGGTTGGTTCCTGCTGCTGCTGGCAGTTGGAGCACTCATCAGAGAAAGTGACCAGTTGGTCTTCATGGGGTTATTTCTCTGTCCCTGTTGTCAGCGTCGCTTAGTTCATGAGTTCACTGGCTGAAGATACAGGCTGATTGACATACACTAGATGTATGACATATATCTAGGTCTGATTATTAAGAGTTTCCTCCGTGGTGGGACTCTCTGCTGAGGAGTCACATGGGACATAAATATCTTCCTACCCTGGGTCCACTTTGAGAAGTCTCCACACATACTTGCTCTTCAAGCCTTCTTGTACCATGTCTCTATCCATGATGCAGCTAAACTGTCAGCCACTCCCCATCAGTTGGTCCTTCTTTAAAAAATAATTTTTATTGGAGTATAGTTGATTTACAATGTTGTGTAAGTTTCTGCTGTATAGCGAAGTGAATCAGTTATACGTATACATATATCCATTCTTTTCCAGATTCTTTTCCATATAGCAAATACACAATATTGACTAGAGTTGCCTGTGCTATACAGTAGGTCCTTGTTGGTTATCTGTTTTATATATAGTAGTGTGTGTATATCAATCACAATCTCCCAGTTTATCACTTCCCCCCACATTTCTGCTTTGGTAAACCCAAGTTTGATTTCGAGATCTGTGAGTCTGTTTCTGTTTTGTAAAAAAGTTCGTGTCATTTTTTTATTAGATTCCCCCATCATTGGTCTTGAACCATATCTTAAGCAGTCTTTCCAGTAAAAGTGAACAATGATATGTACTGCTTGTGGTAGATTATACTATTTTCCCTAGCTATTCACACCCTCTTCCTATTAAAGGATTATATAGCCTACTCATTGTCAGTGACTAAGTTACTCCTGTAAAGATAGGTTAAGCTTTGCCATATGACATATTTTGACCAATGGAATGTGACCAGAGACAACACCTAGTATGCTCAGATAAGCCATCAGGATGCCGTTGTGAGCTTTGCCATGGTCTCTTTTCCTCTGACACAAGAATGCAAAGCCATAGATGGGGGCTGTGCTTTCATTTTGGTTATAAGACTGAGGAAACATGCAGAGCAAAGCTACATGCTCTGTTCACCCAGAGCCAACATTCCAGAGAGTGAGAAACAATCTTTATTGTAAGCACTCATGTGTAGCGGTTGTTACCACAACTTACTGAGAGAAAGAAAACTATCCTGTTCAGTCTTCTACCCATGGGGAGAACCTCCCTCCACCACCTTTCATGGTCACCCACAAGGAGGGTGATGAGTTTCTCCACAGTCCGCTTCTAGCTGCCAACATCACTGTGGTGAAGAACCATCTGTAAGTCAAGCTTACATCTTTCCCTCCTCAGAGGAAACTCCCCAGAGGCCGTCAGCGAGGGTTGAGGAAGAAGTGGCAGGAGGAGGTCCGAGTGAGTCCTCAGCGAGTGCAAACTGCTCCCACAGTCAGGTCAGTGCCTGTAAGATCTGTCTCAGTTGGTCCTCTCTCTCTCTCTCTCTCTCTCTCTCTCTCTCTCTCACTTTGTCCTCTCTCTCTCTCTCTCTCTCTCTCTCTCTCTGTCTCAGTTGGTCCTCTCTCTCTCTCTCAATATTTATAAAGATAAATGTGTCTATATTTGATTTCTGTCAGTATATCAATGTATATAAATCATTTGATTACGGTTTGTTGAATATGCCTGAGTTTATGGTGATGCCACTGATTAGACAACACTTAATGTATAATGTTACAGGGAGAAGTTATATGGTCAATGGGTGTCCCATGGTGAGGTACTGAATCTTCACTGGGCCCAAGAGCAGACCAAGAGATGTTTTTCAAAAGGACAATAGCTTGAAAAGGGAATGTTTGTCCCCCAGCCCTAGAGGCTGCCACTCGAATGTTACAGAAGTCCCCACAGAGTAATAATCTGTCACAGGCCCGTCAAGTCTCATTGCATCTGCTAGATCATAAGAGTCAAGATTTAGGGCTGCCTGAAACATGGCCTGGACCAGCTGGAGAACCTCCACTTGCCCTTAGCCTCACTTAAGTTGACAGCCATTGGAGTCAACAGGAAATGGGTTCGGTAAGTGCACGAAAATGTGGTGGATGTGCCTCTAAAATCCCAAGAGGGCCACTAAACATTGTGACTTTTTCTTCAAGGGGCAGCAAGTTTCTGCCACTCGGAGGGAATGTCTTGTTCTGCCCCAGAGACTAGTTCCCAGAACCTTCCCTGGAGAGCCAGCCCCTGCCTGTCCATGAAATTTCCTGTCCTCAGTCTCGAATGCGTGTGTCTAAGGAATCTAGGACACTTACTACTTTCTGTTCTCCAGGCCCCCATAGAATGAACCAGAGACTTACCATGTTTTTAAAATAATTTTCAGTGAAATTTTTGGCAGATGTTTTGCTATTATCCAATAGCTCTGATGGTTATACTGTTTAGGAGGTGTAGGCTTCACTTGTAATTTTCTTTAAGCCATGTATGATTTCTCATAGGCATGAAATAAGAAAAATGAAAGAGAGGTGTTCAGTGTGCAGCTTGACTAAGAAGTCAGGAAGAAGACAGGTAAGTTATGTGTGGCTCTGACAGGATTAGTAGCTTTTCTAAAGAAGCAGTCTTGGGTATATGTGCTTATGGCTTGGGCTGTCAACACACAAAATCCAAGTAGACTATTTAATCTGTGACTGTGATCTCAATTTTTAGGGGGGTCTTGGAACCCTATACAAATCTAATTAAATCTGTAAGCCCCCTACCCAGAAATTTTACAAACTTAAAACTCTTTAAACAAATATAAGGATTTAATCAATTTGCTGAAGGTCTTCATAGAGGTTTGAGGATCCAAATTAGAATCCAAATTAGAATCCATGTTCCATGAGGCTGACAGAGGTACCTATTTGAATGGGAAAGGCTGTGGGTGGCTTTATAAAGCTTGGCTTAGGAGGCTAGAAATCATTTATTCTCATGATGATTAAGGCTGCTTATTTCTCTCAATGGTATTACTTTTTATCACTGTCAACATTTTGCTCATGGGTCCTTCTTTCTTCCCTTAAATTTGATTATTGTAATTCTTCATTATGTACACACTCTTTGGGAACAAAACACCTTAGGTTAATTCTTTAAATGAAGCCAGATACTTTTTATTTAGAACCTGACAGATAAAAAACTTTAGTTCAATTATGGAAAAATAAAATATTCATTTCCCTTTTGGCTAGTTAATATTGAGTACACAAAGTCATTGTGATTTCTGGAAGCCAAGCTGGGTGGTATGATACCAATATTGCTCACAAAAGTTTTGAGAAAATTTGGTATGGCTAAAACTGGGTTGGAATTCATCCTAAAGGGACAAAGTGAACAATTTTTCTCTTCTTTTGCCAGTAGTCACATATAAAATCCCTGGCAAATAGCAATATTTTAACATTTCATTTATTAGTGGGGATGGGCTGGTTATTCAGATAATTTAATTTCAATAAATATTGACTGAAAACTTATTATGAGGTTTATGGTTCAGGTAAGTTCATCAGAATCTTGATGAAAGGCAAAATTGACTTTTCAACAACACAAGGAAGTTGTGGTCACATAAGCAGCAAAGTGAAATGTATCAGGGTTTGAGCAATTAGGGCATGAGGGAGGGAGAAGGAAGGACAGAAAACTTGGTTGACCTTGTCACTAGGAGCTTTGCTCTTGAAGTGGCGCAGAGATTATTATGTTGCAATCTCAGGAAAGAAAATTTTGCCATAGTTTGCTACCTAGCTATGCTATGAACAACTGAGTAATAGTAATGGAAATATTGTCTGTTGGTTTTCAACACTGAGAGTTAACCTATAGACTAAGTGCAAAAATATAAATTTTCAGGACAGAATATAAATATTGTCAACCTTGACAATGGAAAAGTCAAAATATTCCTAATTATAGTTGAGAAAAAGAAAGAGGGAGAAAATGTGGAAGGAAGATAGGGTTGCTAAGATCCATATCTTACAAAGGTAGGGAGTAAAGAGATTCTATCTCTAGTTGGTGGAAAAAGAGCTATATATATTAATGAGCTAAACTTATAAAGGTAACCCAGTAAAAAAACAAAAAATAATGACATAAGCATCAACGTTTTTGAGGTTTGGGGTCAAATAATAAAATAACTCCTCATTTATCATTGCAGTAAGGAAATGATATCTAGATTTGATAAATGAAGATTTAGTGGTATCAATGTATTATTTAAAATGTGGAGGCAATCTTTAGAAGAACTCAAAACATAAACTGTTGAAAGTAGTTCACTCTGTCAAGTGGGGCAGTAGACTACTGCTTTTTTGGTCATTAATATTTGGGGTATTTAACTTTGTGCATGCTTTAATTTGATGAAAAGGTATAATATTTTTAAAATAAACTAGTAGTGAGGAGAGATCTGAACTAGGTTGTTATTATTTAAAATATTATTTGTAATCCCTGGAGCAACCACTAAGAAAATAACTTTAAAAATATATTGTAGGGACTTCCCTGGTGACACAGTGGTTAAGGCTCCATGCTCCCAATGCAGGGGTCCCGGGTTCAATTCCTGGTCAGGGAACTAGATACCACATGTATGCTACAACTGAGAGTTTGCATGCCACAACTAAGGAGCCCATGTGGCGCAACTAAGACCAGCGCAACCAAATAAATAAATAAATATTAAAAATATATATTGTAAAAAAAACAAGGGTATTAAAATGGTACACTAGAAAATATCTATTTAACACTAAATGAGACAGTAATAGAGGAACAGAGGAACAAAACAATCATAATACATATAGAAAACTAATGACAAAACAGCAGATATGAATTCTATCTTATTAATAATTACATTAAATATAAATGGATTAAACACTCCAATCAAAAGGCAGAGTGTGACAGAATGGATAAAAAAATGATCCATTATATTCTATCTACAAGAGACATGCTTCATATTCAAAGACACAAATAGGTTGAAAGTAGAAGAATAGATAAAGGTATATCATGCAAACAATATGCAAAATAGAGCTAGGGTAGTCATGCTATTATTAGAAAAAAATAGACTTTAAGACAAAAATTGTTACTAGAGAAAAAGAAGCGTATTTTAAAAGATACAAGATCTATCCATCAAGAGAAGATAACAATTATAAACATGTATTCACATAACAACAAAGCCCCAAAATACATGAAACAAAAACTGACACAATTGTAGGAAGAAATAGACAATTTAAAAGTAATAGTTGGAAAATTCAAGATCCCATTTTCAATAATGGATAGAACAACTAGACATAAGATTAACAAGGAAACAGAAGGCTTGAACAATACAATAAACCAACTAGTCCTAATAGAAATGAATAGACCACTGCACTCAACAACAGCAGTATACACATCCTTCTCAAGTGCACATGGGACATTCTCTAGGATAGACCATATGTTGGATCATAAAAAATAATGACTCAATAAATCTAAAGAGGTTGAAGTCATGTAGTGTATGTTCTTTGAACACAATGGAATAAAATTATAACTCAGTAAAAGAAGGAAATTTGGGAAATTCACAAATATGTGGAAGTCAAACACACACTCCTAAACAACCAATGGATCAAAGAAGAAATCAAAAGGAGATTAGAAAATAAGATGAGTGCAAGTGAAAACACAAAATACCAGAAGTTTTGGGATAGAGCTTAGCAATGGTGCTTAGAGAGAAATTTATAGCTGTAAATGTTTATATTAAATAAAGAAGAAAGATCTCAAATCAGTAATCTGATCTTTTACCTTAGGAAACTAGAAAAAGAAGAACAAACTAAACCCAAAGTAAGCAGTAGAAAGGAAATAATACAGATTAGAGAGAAAATAAATGAAATAGGTAATAGAAATACAATGGAGAAAACCAAAAGTTGATCCTTTGAAAAGATCAACACAATTGTCAAAACTTTAGCTAGACTGACAAAGAAAAAAGAGAGAAGATTCAAATTAGTAAAGTCAGGAGTAAAAGAGGCAACATCCCAGAAATAAAAAGGCCTAAAAGTAAATACTATGAACAATTGTATGCCAAAAAATTAGATAATCTAGATAAAATGGACAAATTCCTGGAAAGTCACATCTTTCAAAACTGATTTAAGACAGAAATACTGTATGCAGAAAAACTGTTTGGGCCTATAATGAGTAAAGAAATTGAATTAGTAATAAAAAAAACTACACACAAAGAAAAGGTCAGGATTAGATGGTGAATTTGCTAGAGAATTCTACCAGATGTTTAAAGAAGAATTAACACCTATCTTTCACAGACTCTTCCAAAAAATAGAAGGGGAGGGAACATTTCCCAAATCATCTCTATAAGATCGCTATTACTTTTATACCAAAACAAGACCAAGATATCACAAGGAAAAGAAAACTATATTATGAATATAGAAAGAATATAAATTATAAATTTAGAAGCAAAAATCCTCAACAAAGTACCAGAAAATCAAATCCAACAAGATATAAAAAGAATCATTCATCATGACAAAGTGGGTTATTCCAGGAATGCAAGCTTGTTTCAAGATATAAAAAATCAATCAATGAAACACACCAATTAATAAAGATAAAAATAATATGAGCTTCTCAATTGATTAATATTTATACAAAATTAATATTTAATATTAGTATTAATATTTAACAAAATCCAACACCATGTTATGATAAAAACATTCAACCAACTAGTAGAAGGAAATATCCTCAACTGATAAAGTGCACCTATGAAAAACGCACTGCTAACATCATACTTAAACGTGAAAGATTGAAAGCTTTTCTGCTAAGATTAAGAAGAAGGCAAGGATGTCTACTCTCACCACTTTTATTCAGTATTGTACTGGAGGTTCTGGCCAGGGCAGTTGGGCAAGAAAAAGAAATAAAACCATTCATATCAGAGAAGAAGAATTAAAACTATCTCTATTCACAGATGACATGATTTTGCATGTAGAAAATCCTTAGGAATTCACAGACAAAAAAACTGTTACAGCTAATAAACAGTACAGCAGAGTTGCAGAATACATGATCAGTATACAAAAATCAGTTATATTTTTATACGATAGCAACGAACAACCCCAAACAATAATTACAAAAAATAATTCCTTATATAAAAAAACCCAGTTAGGAATAAATTGAATAAAATAACTGTAAGACTTGTACATGAAAAACAACAACACATCTTTGAAAGAAATTTAAAACTACCTAAATAGGAACTTCCCTGGTGGTGCAGTGGTTAAGAATCCGCCTGTTGGGACTCCCCTGATGGTGCAGTGGTTAAGAATCTGCCTGCCAATGCAGAGGACATGGGTTTGAGCCCTAGTCTGTGAAGATCCCACATGCCATGGAGCAACTAAGCCCGTGCACCACAACTACTGAGCCTGTGCTCTAGAGCCTGTGAGCCACAACTACTGAAGCCCGTGTGCCTAGAGCCCATGCTCCGCAACAAGAGAAGCCACCACAATAAGTCCACGCACTGCAATGAAGAGTAGCCGCTGCTTGCTGCAACTAGAGAAAACCCATGCACAGCAACAAAGACCCAATGCAGCCAAAAATAAATAAGTAAATAAAATCTCTGTAAAACA